GCATCTTCATCTGTCGCCGTCCAAAGTGAACCAAATTCTCGAGAGATTTTGTTCTTGAGCCGTTTGGCTAAGAACCACGGCCCTGCCAGCTTACCATCGAGACACTGCGTCACGACCCCTCCCACAGTGTCGAAAAGCAGAACATCGCCGGCTTTGACACTGACTCTCAGAGGGTGTCGTCTTGCAATCTCTGTCGTAAGTCCCACGAGGCCTTCTTTGCATCCGCGGCAGGGGCCGCGCCCCAGTGATTCAAACCGAACTTGTCAGCATCCAGCACAGTCTGGCGGAACAAGCAGCCCGACAAGAGAAGCTTGACGAGTTCGCCCAGCAGGGGGCACGTCCAGCTGGGGCAGTTGGCCAAGGTCTCGGCTGAGTAGCCCTCTTTCTCCCAGACCGACTGCGGCTTGGAGGCGGTGGTCACCTTGCCCTCGTTAGAGGTCAAAGTTCACTCTATGTGCTTGGTCACAAGCACCGCGCGCACACAGGGCCACTTGTAGCGACCGCCTTTAGCTGTTTCCTTGGAGCGAGAAAAGAAGTCTTGCTTCTGCTCCGGCGTGAACTCCTCCAAGGCCCCGGCACCCAAGTTCCGGTAGACCAGCATGCGAAGAGAAAGGCATGACTGGCAAAATCTGTCGCCTTCGCCTTGGCCCTTCGACGCGTCTGCAGGCTTCTGTCTGCAGCTCACGCAGAGCGCAGCGGCCACTGCTTCAGGCGCTGCCATGGCAGCGACACACCGCACCAAGGAGGAGGGGCAGGCAGAAGTTAGAGCTGGCACAAACCAGAATTTTGAGGATTCAGCCGGCGGCCATCCTACATTCATCCTACATCCATCCTACATTCGCCTACATAAGCTTTGGCACCAGACAGCGGAGCTGTAGATTGGTACAAGGCTATCCTACATTCTGCCTACATTGTCCAGAGTGTGGTTGGGAAATCCCATCCTACATTATCCTACATTCTGCCTACATTTCTCTTTTCAGCGATTCCAAGGAAAATTTCAGCTCCGGACTTGCAGAAGCTGGGTTTCTGAAACTTCGCACTTCCCGGTTTGCTTCCAAGTTACCACAGAGAGAGAGAGAGAGAGAGAGAGAGAGAGAGAGAGAGAAGGAAGAGGGTTAGAGAAGGGTTTAGTCACGCTTTAGGGTTTTATATAAGCTGCAGGGTTTATAGGGTTTGGGCTTTGGAGGGCTTCGAAGCCCCTGCAGCGGGCAACCCGTTTTGCGGGCACCGGCGCATGCAGGTCGCGTCCATGCAGGCCGGCCTGCGCGGCGGAATCGCCAGCATCGCGGCGCGTGCAGCTGCAGACGGAGCGTATGGTGCACTGCGATGATGCATGCCCGCCGCTTTGGGCCGCTGAGCGCAGCTTCAACCCCGAAGGGGAGCGCACAACAGCGGCATCCCTGCGCGCAGCTTCAACCCCGAAGGGGAGCGCACTGCAGCGGCTGCGCGCAGCTTCAACCCCGAAGGGGAGCGCGCAGCAGCGGAGGGCTGCTCGACTCAGCTCTGGCTCCTGTGAGGAGCGCGCGGCCTGCTGCGTGTGCTGCTGCAACCCCGAAGAGGAGCGCACAACGCAGCGGCCAGTGCCACGCGCTCGTGTAGTCCTGGTTGGGCCGACGCTGCTGCTGAGCCACCTCACCTGCCTGGGCCATGCCGAACCAAAAGCTCAAGACACGCCCGCCACAACCAGCAACGGCGAAGGAAGGCCAAAATAGAGTGAGCCAACATGGTATATATACAGCATGGCATGACGATTTTTTGGCTTGACACGACAATCACCTGGCTATATAAGTTTGCGGCTCCTGGCTACTATGAGTAAGCAAAACTTATATGGAACTGTATCACGAGGAAACAAGCATTCCTGCATCATTGTCTGAATCAACCGCCCCAGCGATTTTCAATCGAAAAAGCCTCGTAAGAAAAAACTATGAAAAACTATGATTCCTAAGTTCACCTTAACTTGTTCCTAAGTTCGCAGCAAGTTCACCGCAAGTTCCCCTCCCTAACCGATAAGTATACATATGTTGCCACCAAGTAAAATACATCTTGGCCATGAACATATCTAACTTATAACCCAAAAACCTAACTTAAAACATGAGATATCTAAGATACAACCAAATCGTAATTAGGTTCTAATTTAGATAAGTCATAAAAATCAATCTGGTATGGGTTAGGGTTTAGGGTTTAGGGTTTAGGGCTTAGGGTTTAGGGTTGGGGATTTACCTTAAACTAATATGGGTTAGGGTTTAGGGTTTCGGGTTTAGGGTTTAGAGTTTAGGGTTTGGGGATTTACCTTAAAGTAATATGGGTTAGGGTTTAGGGTTTAGTGATTTACCTTAAACTAATGTCCCAGACACCCGGGAGGATCCAAAAGTAGATCCCTTAATGGGTGTTCCTATAAAGCGCCTTAGTAGCATAGGGTCCCAAATTAGGGGTTACAACTTTGCTAGATTTTTGCGGTTTTCCACTAGGGGTTCCAGAAGGCTTTTTGGTTTAGGG